AACACCACACATTTCGAAAGATATTATTTAATAATACCATTATCACTTGCGATGCTGTTAAGTTTCATGCCTTTCTCGTTCTACGAGCTGAAATTTGATCAAGTACAAAATCGTGTTTGGTACAGTTCAAGTAGGTATCATAAAAAATTTTATTTACGGGTGCGATCAATAATAAATCTCAAATCTTTAACCAAAAATTGTCCTATCCTTCCTTTCTAGTTACCTGGGAATGGGCAACGTACCTTGCATGGATCATCTGGTCCATTATGTATTGCACTTTCTCAATTTCCCTGATACTTTACAGCATAAACAAGCGGAGCAAAGGTGCAGATTCAACGTCCATCGACAACTCCGAATCCTCCTCCTCCGCCACCCATTTTTCCAAGAACACTTCTCGACACGTTACTCGCATAACTTTTTATTCATTAATACCGATTTTAACATATTTACCAACCATAATATTAGACCTTTATTACATATATATAGGCAACAATAATTCACTTATTAATATAATTTCCTTACTATTTTCATCATCACAAGGAATTTTTACTTTGATAATCTTTTTGTTTGATCCAGTTATCAGTCAATTAAGATCATGTCATGAAAAAGATAAACAACATAAACAAGTCGTTTTAGATACGGTTAGAAAGGGGGTTTACGTTGAAAACATCTATAAGCTTGATTTACCCAGGAAACGAGACCAACAAGAACAGCAGATCAATGATGCTAACAATATTCATGCAAAGAATGCTAAAAAAAGTAGCATTTATAATCTAGTCTTTGCTCTTTATGATAATAGAAGGAGCTTAATTGTTAGAAATGACCATTTGAACCTAGATAATGATAATGATATGATCGCCCTTCTTTAAAATTAAAGAAGGTCCCATTTATCCAATGTGACACAAATTCTTTGTCTTTGAAATCATTTTTATATATAGATATTTATTTTCATCTTTTTTGAAAAAAAAAAAAAAAAAAAAAAGGAAACCATATCCTACATTTTATATCTTTTACAGTAAAACGATAAAAATAAAACTTCACAATGCATATCATCTTTATTATTATATTATCAACCATACAAAATAATTCCGATTAAAATTTACCTGAAGTTTGAACCTTTCGTCACACCGCGGCAATAAATTCTTAATTTAGTTTAGTTGATGAAAAAGAATTTCTTGGCAACAAAAATTGCGAAAAATAAATAAATAAAAAAAAAAAAATAGGAAAATCGTACACAATGAACTTTCCGGAAACAAGAATTACTATTTTTATTGCGCCCCTTTAACTTGTTTAAGACGAAACAAATTGTTTCAAATTTTGAATTACTAATGTGGGATAATAATATAACAAATAGTATATAAAACAATTAAAAATAAAAATAAAAGTACAAAATGTAAATTTTTGCCAAAAAAAAACATTAAAAAGTAGTTGTTTTTGCTTATAACCTTTTTCTTTCTACTTTTCTTTTTTTATTCCTTTGTAGAAAAATAAATTAAATTAAAAAATAATATATATATTTCTCACTAAAAAATCGTTTCATTTCATTTTTCATTTCTTTTCTCATTTTTCATTTTTTTTTTAAAAAAAAAAAATTTCTAAATTAAATACTTCTAGAACCATAAAAACATGTTAAAAAGTTTTCTTTGGATAATAACGACGATCTTCGTGTCACTGTTCTTCGATAACGCAATCGCGTACAATTTAATCGAAACTACTCAAAATTTTAATAACATCAAACAATATATAAATGATGATACATTAATTTTGATACCACCACCAACGAATGATTCCGCGAATCAGTTCGTTACGCTCCTATTTCAAAATGGAACGAGTTCGGTGATAAATATTGACGTCAAAAGTCAAAATGAAGGAAACGCTTTGATTGACATTTATCCTTTAGCCAAAAACTACATTTGGATAATATACGCGAGAAATGTGAACGAAAGTAGTAGCGTTCAAAACATGTTTGGTATGCTAATGAATTGGAATCAAGAAATTCTTGCATTGTAAGGTTTATCTTATTATTATTATTATTATTATTATTACAGAATAGAACAGGCAATTTTAAATGACTAAAAAAAAATTTTGAACTTTTTACAGTGACGTCGACTTAAATTGTCCGTATGATGTTAATGATCGACCGACAGTTGCAACAAATATCAATCCCGAAGATGGCTTTATCATTATAACGAAAAACACTGATCATCATTTAACATGGAATGAATTCTCTTATTCGTTCAAAGAACACGAGCACAAAGGACACGAACCTGATGAACAAGAACATGAACCTGATGAACAAGAACATGAACCTGATGAAAAAGAACATGAGCCTGATGAAAAAGAATACGAGCCTGATGAAAAAGAACACGAAAAAAAGCTTCCCGATGTCAATCTCATCAAATTTATTTCTCATGGCACAATCAAATATACAGAACAAACCGAGTTAATAGATTATTTAGCGTTTGGTACGATAGAAGGAACATACGGAGTTCTAATCTTACTTAAGAATTTAAAGATTAAAAATGTAGATTTAATCAATAGTTATCAAGCGCAACCGATTTATATGGTATATTTAGCTTTAATAGGCACCCCACAACATTCACAAGTGCCTGCATTGGTTTACGAAACTTCAGAAGATAAAATTACTTCAATTAATATTCAATCATGTAAAGTTGCATTTGTCGATCATGCAAACGTTTGCTTTCTTAAATCTATTGTTAATAGTAGTTTAGGTGTATCTCTCTCTGCTACCGTAGAAATTGCTTTTTTGTCTACGGGTTCAGTGATTGATATTAGTCAGCTTGGTTTGGATAATGATACTATAAATCTGCCAGCACTACCAACACCAAACGCTAATAATATTACGGATTCCGTTATACCTTTGGAAAATGATGGTTTACTTTTAATTAGACATACCGATAATTCCATCACCGGTCACATCTATGATCAATATGGAAATAATATCGGAAAAGAATGGGACATACCAAAGAATTTAACGGAGAATAGTAACTTACTTGGATTTGGCATGTTTAAAAATAATACTGCGTGGATCGCTTTAGATGGTTTAACAGATAGTATTGTATCAAGTGATATGCCAAAATTTATCGAAGACAGTAAGTTACAAACAAATTGTAATACCCTTTTTTTTTTTTAACCAGCCGCTAATTTTTTCCTCTCTTTGTTGTTAATCATAGGTGGATATAATAATTTACTTGTAGTGTCAACCGAACCAAAGATAAATAGTCTCTTATTCACACCTTATCCGAAAACAATAAATATAACCTATTCGATTCCAATTACGCAAGGTTCTGGAAATATTACAATTTACCAGGTTAACGATAATGGATCAAAACTTTTAAGACAAACATTTCCCGGAGCTTCAGAACATTGTAGGATTGATGAAATAGAAAGGAAGACAATCTCTTGTAAAGCACTAAATAGTACCTTTAATCATATGGGTACAAATTATACGGTGATCGTTGATAATAACTTTGTTAAGAATTCTTTCTTGGATGAACCTTTAAGCGGAATACAAAGTGGTTTCTGGAATTTTAAAACTAATGCATGTAAGTTATTTTATATTTCGCATCCCGATTTTCCGTGGTCGTGTTTATTTTATCAATATCTTAACTAAAATGTACAACGTGATTAGCGTCAGCTGAAATTCCGTTCACAGTTGGATTCACTGTCTTGTTGAGGCTTGATGATGAAGGAACACGAAATTTTTTTGCGGATAAAAAATTTTTAGATCATTTACATACAGAATTATCTCAAAGTATACCGGTTAAACATCATAGACTGGTATTCACTCGGCGAGTACAGAAAGACTACTCAACGGAAAATAAAAGATTATTATTTGAATTTAAAATATTAGAAGATGGAAATGCTACTGATCCAAGGCCTCAAGATGTTTTCAATAGTTTGAAAACTTTAATCAAACATAAAAAGATTACTATTCTCTCAACTTTAAGTCATGCTAGATACTTGGATGAAACGTATGAAATTCATATTGTTCGTGAGTATTTTGAGGGAAAAAAGGTGAACTTACCAAATATGATTTAATATTGATTTTCTTTTTTTCGTTTTGTAGCGAATTTATGGGAAGTTGTGAGGTATCTATTCCTTGGATTTGTGTTTGTCTGTTTAACACTTGGAAGTTTGTATTTGTGGGCTCGTTATAGACATCCAAAGGTAACGTTTAATTTTTAGTTTTGACTGTAAAATATATAAATAAATATAAACATAAATAATTTTGTTTTATTGTTTTACAGGGAAAAAATTCGGCGATATTTAAAATTCCATTGCTCTTATTTGATTTATTAATGGACATATTATTTGTTATATACCATGGAAGGACAATTCCTTACATATTCATTCCAAGGTACAATTCCAAGTTTTACTTTTTTTCCCCCTTTCCGTTAACCAAACTTTATTTACTAACGGATCCTTTATTTAAATAGCATTATCATATTAGCAGTATCATTTGCATTTAATTCATTCATGAGCGTAATAATTATAACGCGTGAAATATCACACAATCCTAACTTTCAAAAATGGTTCGATAATCATATAAAATTAGCAGCATTATTCACTGTACTTGGGTTCGCCGACGTAGAAACGTTATATACATTAAAAAGCAGAATCGCCGGTTTAGAATCGTTTTCTGCTCCTTATTCTAAAGTTGGATTATCCTGGATATTAAACGGTAGTGCGTTGAATGTATTGATGGTTGATTTACCTCAAGTAATATTTCAGGTATTTGCTAGAATATTATTATTATAATTATTAAATTTTAAGCGTGTATATATATATTTTTTTTGCTGAAGATATTAACAAATTATAATACTTATTTCAGATTATCTATCTACAAACTGTGTTAAATTATACTTTGATACCTTTCTTCACTTTAATTACAAGTAGTTTGATTTTTGTTATCGATTTGGTTTCTCATGTTCACGATGCTATGTCGAACCAATGTTGCAAGAATTCTAAGGTTGGTTATATGTTTAATGATCAAGTATCGCACCAATCTAGTCGTGAATCTAGTCGTGAACCTAGTCGTGAACCTAGTCGTGAACTTAGTCGTGAATCTAATCGTAACCACGAAAATAACCACGAATCTGACCACGAATCTGATCATGAAACTAATTATGAGAATCATGGTAATAATAATGGTCGCGAGGAAGCTTAATTTTTATAAAGAAGAAAAAACATTTTATTTAAATAGAACTAACTAGTATACATGTAAATATATATATAATAGTCTGTAAAAATTAAAAATAAAATTTATGTAATTTTCTTGCTTTTAGCCAATCAAGTAGAATAAGTTTCCGACGACTAAAATCAACCAAGTAAAACTTGAATAAATAAATAAATAAATAAAAGGGGTAGTTACCAATCTATGTACAGTATGGTAGCATTAGAAACCATACATTTATTTAGCATTTTAGTGTCGATTAAATTGTAAACAAATAATTTGTCGAATCTTAGATCGAAACTACCGCTAGTTATTTTAAGGAAACCATCGATCGTTTTTTCATTGAACAAATGACATTGTATTCCAACATTGTTCTTGCTTTATACTGTAAATGAAGAAATGGCGTCTTTACTTTTTAGGCACTTCATTATAAATTTTTCTTTCATATACAAAGAAATATACTATATGATCGATCAAGTAAAATTCCACGTATAAAAAAATCAAACCTTATTGAAAATCATATGATTTCATTTTTTAAAATTAGTAATCTACAAGAAAATGAATTTGATAATCTTAATTTCAACGACGAATAACGACGAATCTAACGAGTAAAGGAAGAAGTTGACGTTGAATATACTATCTGAATGCTGCATATTGTCAAAATAGTTGTAATAGCTTTAAAAATTTATATAATAACTATGGTCTCAATCAATCAAAGTGTAAACTACCGTGTATGTTCCTGTCTTTCTATTTTATTATTATTTTTTTTTTTTTTCCCTGTGCATGACAAAATACAATAATGCGTAGATTTTCTTATTTATTGAGCTGATTTAATATCCAACCAAAACAATTAAGAGGTTAGATAAAATAAAAAAAAATGATTTAACCTAAATATTCACAATTAGAAATATCGGATTACAAATTCCTATTACGAAATCATTAATAATTACAAAAGCATTATCGCTTACACAAAATACAAATCTTCAAAACTTACCAGATATACAAATATTTAAATTTTCAAATAAATGGCTCAATGGTTTTTTAAATCAATATAATTTATCAATACCACTATTGCATAATATTTACCTAAAAATCTAGGAGAAAAGAGCGCAGCTTTTTAAATTATATATAATTAATATGGAAATATGAAAATCCACTTACTTTAATATATTCAATCCAATAACAATTGAAAAAATATGATGCTTATACAGTTAACATTAGAACTATATGTGATAAAAGAAAATTTTTAATGTAATTTTTGGATATATAGCTAATAAAACAAAATTATCTTCAGTTTATAGTTCAAATTTTTTTTAAAAAAAAACCTTTTTTGAAGGTATATTTATTTATCTTATTCATTTTATATACATATAATTAAAAATCAACCTTCTATAAAAAATACAAATATAACAATTATTCCTAATGACTTAATATTAGATATTGCAATTAATAAAAGTTTTAAACTAAAGATATAAACAATTTTATTTTATATTTAAATTAAAAAGCATTATATAATCAATAGATAATAGAAAAATTCATAATACTATATCCTTAAGTCATATTAAAAAATTATTATATTTAAACTTGCTAAATAAATAAATTAACCTAAATTTAATTAAAATTTATTTTTAAGTATTATAAAATATCTGATGTAAAGCATTTATAATTTAATATTATAGTTTTAATTTTCATTATATTTGTATCTTTGATTATAATAATTTAATTAAATAAAAATTTTAAAAAATACTAATAAAATAAAAATTATATTAACAGCAAAAATAATTAGCAAAATGATTAGCAAAATATAAAAGACACTATGATATATTAAATAATAGAAATTATTATAAAAAATATCTTATAGTACCTTATCTAAATTCATAAAATTTAGCATTTAATACAATAATAAATATTTATTTTATTATTTTTTATTAATAAATCTTTTCTTATTTTTAAAAAATATGCAAAAAGAATACATCTATTATAAACTTAATATTAAAAACTTTTAGAATTTAATTAATAAGTTTTAAATTTATAATAATTGATTCTCTCAATATTTGCTTATTTATATTAGGTATCATAAATACTGAATCTGAAATACACAATGTGAAAGTGGGGTTTGAGGACAGAATGTCCGATCCCCACTGAAACATAGTGTGTGTGGGTCACAGAACGTTAAAAACAATATCGAATTTTTTTATTATATTAGAAAAGCTTCTAACAGCTCTAGAATCTTAATTTCGATATTATATTTCTTAATTCTGTATGGCTTCTCCGACCTCAGAAAGCATATTGATTTTTTTTTATTATATTAGAAAAGCTTCTAACGGCTCTAGAATCTTAATTTTGATATTATATTTCTTAATTCTGTATAGCTTCTCCAATCTCAGAAAGCATATCGATTTTATTAATATATTAGAAAACC